ATATTATTAACTTGGTGTTTAAAAATATATTTAAGTATAATTATCTGTTAAGGGAATAACAAAGTAACAATATAAATGTTAAGAGTCAGATCCAGGGGTATTGTGTTTGGAACTCCTATTTATACTAAAGTCTTTATGATTTTTGAGTATTGTTTGGTTAATTAATTATTATTGTGACTACTTTAAGTCAAACACGTTTAACCACAAATTTTTTTTGACTATCTGATTGTCATATCCTATTTAAAATCAATTGTGATAAGTAAGTGGACATTAACCATTTAACCACATCTCTCAATAGCAAACTGCAGCGCCACATCTCTAATCGAGCAGGGGCTGAACTCGGCCAACCCGAAAACTTCACTTATGTATGGGTTAATGTTTTTTTTTTTTAAAGTGAAAATGACTAAGTACTTACCAAATGGAATAAAATCTTTTTTTGCTACTAAATGGGCCATGCCAGACGCCCAACGGCCGGCCGGAAAATGTATAGAGAACCTTAACTTAAATACCCCCAAGGCAGAATATAATCTTGTTCTGCCCATGTTGTGTGATTTAACAATAAGATCCTCCTAATCCCAATCTAATTCATTATTTGGGCATCATTAAAATATTTCTTTTAAATTTGTTTAAGGTTGAGTTTGAGTGCAAGGATAGATGATGCGACAATAAGACAATTTATAGGTCGCAAAAGACAAGGTTTATCTTTCTTTTTTTAAAAATAAATAAATAAATAAATAAAATATAACGATGTTCTTCCGACCAAATGTGCAACGTTGTTCGAATTGCTACGTTTTATGTTCCACATAAGACATAGTAAGACGTCCTTGTCTTCTTCGCAATGTTTTATGAACAACATTTTGTGATTATTAGATAGTCTCAAATTGATGATAAAGTAAGTTGTTTTGACTGGTCCATCTATTTAAATTTTTCATCAATCTTTTATAGTACTGCATGGTCAGTGTTACCAATTATATACTTTTGATTGATGATATGATGAAATAACAGCAAATATTTGTCTGAATCTTCAAAGTGATTGATAAATTGATTAAAAAAAAAAAAACTCAATTTTTTTTTTTATTACAAACCATAAATTTGTGGTCATTTTTCGGTGATTAAAAATATTAGGCTTTCAGCAATGGACCAGAAAGAAAATCAATGGAAAGATAGAAAGTGCAAGGCAGAAGATGAAACCATGTTATGGAATATAATTCATGTTCACCGCGATGCAACTAAAAATAAAATTTGATTATACTGGATATAATAAACTGGATCTATTGAATCTCATAACTGCACAACGCTTAACCACATAGTTCTTTGACTATATGGTTGTTATGTCATATTTAAAATCAATTGGATGATAACTTCTTCCTTGGTAAGCTACAGTGTCACGTCTCGAATCGAGCAGGAGCTGAACTCAACCAACCCGGCCTAGTTGCACAGTATGCCTCCTTAGTCTTCGCGCCCACTATTCCCCTTCTTGGGACTGACTCGATCCTTAGCCTTCGAGCCTAGTTGCGTAGCATGCCTCCTTAGTCTTTGCGCCCACTATTCCCCTTCTGCGACTGGACTCGACCCGTACGTTACCCATCCTATGATTGATGTAAGTCAAGCACGATACAATTTTTTTGTCATATTCTACTTAAAACTAATTGGTGATGAGTATGCGGACATTAACCATCAACAACACTACGTTTGGAATCGAGCAGGAGCTGAACTCGGTTAACCCTGCCAACGCCCAACATGATATATATACAGGGCCGGATTTTAAGTTTTTGTGGTCCTGTTCTGGTAAATAATTTAGGCCCTCCAAAATCATAATTTTTAAAACTAACATATGCGAGTTTCGAACCTTTGACCTCCAAGTGAAAATACACTAAATGTACATTGCTACCATCCCTTCATGGAACCCATTATGTTTGCTTGAAAACTTTTAATTTTTATTTCTAAACTAGCTAGGTAAATATTAAATATTGGGCCTCTAAAACTTGGGGCCCCTCTAAAATTGGGGGCCCTGTGCGGTAGCCCAGCTTGCACAGCCTAAAATCCGGCCCTATATATATATATATATATATATATATATATATATATATATATATATATATATATATATATAGGGAAGGGATCGGGTGCATTTGTGGCTTCCCGCACGGGAAGCACCCAACCGCACTGGAACCTTTCACTATATATATATATATATATATATATATATATATATATATATATATATATATACTATCTACTATCTACTATACTAATAAGAGCCCAAGAGAGTTAGGCCTATAATGGGTACAAAAAATGGCGGTCATGTTTTTTAATCAAATAAATGGCTCAGATTGATCAGATTTTATTTTTTTTTTCTTAAAATTTCCTAATTTATCCCTAATGAATATGATTTTCCGTTAACTTTTCCGTTAAATATTATATTTTCCGTTAATTTCTGTTAGTTCACCGTTAACTTACTCATTGATTTCGATAAGAAAGGTCTTAGGTTCGAACCTCATCCCAATCAAAGTTGGCATAATTAGTACTCTATTTTACTCTTATTAAATTATAAATAATAATTTTGTAGCTATAACAAAAAATAATACATATGCATTTCTTTAATTTAGAATTATGTGTCTACAATGTCTTTATTCAAAACAAATTATTATTATCAATAAATTAAATAAGAGAAATAATTCCATTAGTTATATTGTATTTATTTTTCTCCAATATAAAAATTCTTTACATTCAAATTCATCAATTGATTATATTTGCTACATTGTCCCTACAATGCCTTTATTAAAAAAAAATTATTCACATTATCAATAAATTAATTAAGAGAAATAATTTTATTAGTACATTCAAATTCATCAATTGATTATATTCACTACATTGTCTATTATCTTTTTTGTGCACTATTTTTTAATTAAATATCAAAGTTATAATACAAAATAATGCTATATATTTATTTACCAAGTATTTTATTAATACCATGAAAAAATTTAAAAAATATAATTAATAAAGTCAATCATATTAACTACTTGAGTGATTTGTTGACAAAGAGAATATTCAAATCACACAACAATTTGAAATGAGAACTACTTCGCAATGTCCTTGTTTGACAATCAGCAGTTAGCGGTTAGCGTTAGCGGATTATAATAGCAAATTTGACCAGCGAATTATATCAACGGTTGGTAAAAAGATATTTGAAAAAAATAGCTGTTTATATTAACATGTAAAATGACCTAAGGGTATACATAATAATAATAATAATAATAATAATAATAATAATAATAATAATAATAATTTAAAAAAAAATTTTAAAAATTAAGCCAATCATATTAACTACTTGGGGATTTATTGACAAAAAAAATATTCAAATCACACAACGAATTGAAGTGAGAAAATATCTCGCTGTCCTTGTTTGGCAATCCGCAGTTAGCTTTTCAATATTAGTATATATTTAATATTTTATGCCCTACATTTTATTTGCTCTCCCTTATGTTCCGTATTTGGTTTCAAGTATACTTATGTAGGGATGGCAACGGGGCGGGGCGGGGGCGGGAAATGGGGTCCCCGTCCCCGTCCCCGAAATGTCCCCCCATTCCCCGTCCCCGCCCCGTTCCCCGGCGGGGATGGGGAATTATTCCCCATCCCCGTCCCCACGGGGATGGGGAATTATTCCCCATCCCCGTCCCCACGGGGATTTTTCGGGGACGGGGAATCCCCGCCCCGTTTTGATTCATGCTTACTTTTTTTTTTTTTTTTTTTTTTTTTTTTTTTTTTTTATTTTAAAAAACACACATAATATAATATGCATTCTTAACAAAACTAGAGAAACACAGTTTTGTTAAGGAAAAATCTTAAATCGCAAAGATGAAAAAAAAAAATCATCTACTAATACCATGAGAATATGCAGAGATAGAGAATGAAGAATATAATACATTGATGTTCAATAATAATTTAAACAAATAAACATAGCCTATTTATACAAGATATATGTACGGTATTACGGTAACAATGAACATAAAATGTATGTACCTAAACTAGAATACTAATTACATGGAAATTCAAGAATATGATTAAATATATACAAGAGAGATATTAATTTATATATAATATTAATATTATTAGTCAGGGATTCGGGGACGGGGCGGGGATCGGGGATCGGGGTCGGGGCCGGGGCGGGGAATGCCCTCCCCGTCCCCGTCCCCGGCGGGGATTGGAAAATTCCCCCCATCCCCGCCCCCGTTCCCCGAAATAAATCCCCGAACCCATCCCCGTCGGGGCGGGGAACGGTTTTCCCCATCGGGGGCTGGTTCAATTGCCATCCCTATACCTATGCAATTATTTTATTGACAATTATAATCAATCTTGACTATATTAACTTGCATTTGTAAACTTAGAATTGCCTATTTAAATATTAAAATTTAATATTCAATTATCTATGCATGAACAATCCAATATAATCTTGCCTTAATATACTTTAAAGTACTTATTTAAAAAATATATATTGGGCATTATCCCAATCGCGCAATGCTAGCAAAAAATTAGTATATATATAAGTTTTGATTTATAAAAAGCTCTATAACCGCTATTCAAAAGTGCACTCCGAATGAAGTTTACCTTGTGGTCAAAGCTATTAAAGTATCATAATGCAATAAATCAGCATAGGTGAGTGAACCGTCCAATGTTCTAGACTCTAGATGCTGCAAATGAAAGAAAAACATAAACAAACAAGAAAAGGAAGTCTTTATTGACCAAATTATGAGGAGTTGGTGCCATTATTCTTACAGGACGGAGCTTTCATATTTCGCAGACAAATGCTGGACATGATGCATGCAGAAGAAAAGCTAATCTCCACAGTGAAATGTTTGTAATAGTTTCACACGTGCACCTAATCAATTCCAGTCTACATAATACTAATTAAATTCTCTCAATAATTTGGACAATACTTTATATATTTCCTTACGCGTTCATCTTCTATCCCATTCTCCGGTCAACGCTGCTATCAACTTCGTAGCTGTTGTTGGACCATTATAAAGACAGATACCACCGGCCGGAAATCTATGCGTTGTTCAGGCGATCATAGTATAGTAGCTAAACCTGGGATGGATCATCTTTCAACGGAAAATTTGTTCTCTGAAATGGTAAGGTTTAATTTTCTCTTAGAATATTATGTTGGTTAAATCTAGAGAATTGAACTTGTAATTTTGTAATTATCAAGTAAACAGTTTGACCAACTTAATCAGATTGCTCGAACATTGTTGTTTTTGTAATTCAATGAATGATTGATTAAAGATGTATACACAGGAGGAGGTGGAGGATGCAGCTTTTTTGAATGAATGGATGGACACGCTCGACAATAATTTTGTTCATTTTTATCCAAACGATCCCTTCTTTCCACCAGCTTATGGAACGGAAAATAGTGACGGCGGCGTTATACGGAAGCCGGCGGTGATGAACTCTGTTCAGTGTCAGCCGTCGGCGTCCTCTTCCTTCGCGGACTCCGCCGTCAGCCGCAACCCTAGTGGCGGCATCGAGAATCCGGCGGTGAAGGTGAAGATGAAGATGAAGACTGAGATGGATCACAGGGAGTCTTCGGGGAAAACTATGATTAGTTTTATGCCGTCATCGTCTCATTATTGTTCCGGCCGCGGTAACGACGACGAGCACCGCGAGAGCCTAATCCGGACGATAGAGTTTGGGGAGGGGAAGGGGAAAAAGGGTTCCGCCATTAGATCCCCTCTGCAAGCTCAAGATCATGTTTTGGCTGAAAGAAAACGACGAGAAACGCTTACACAGCGATTCATATCCTTATCTTCCCTCATTCCTGACCTAAAGAAGGTTATTAGCAATTATATATATTTTACCTAATTCTTGAGTGTTCTATCTTATCGTGTTTAGCATATAAATAAAATATAACATATAAAACATAAACATGTGATGAAATAAAGACAATTCCAATTAATTCAATTTGGTTACTTAGACTATTAACTTTATTGTGAAAATTAAAATGTAATAATCTGACAATTTTCTTTTCAATTTTAGTCAATTATGAATCATTTTTAATTTTCAGTTAATTATTAATATTCATTTCTTTTCCACTTAACCTAATTTCTGTTTCTTTTTTTCATTTTTAATTTTCTGTCAATTATTAATATTCATTTATTTTTCAATTTACCTCATTTTTGTTCCATTTTTAATTGATGATGATGTAGAGAATTATTGTGAAATATTTCTGTTCATTTTCTAATTTACCTTTACTATTTACTATTGTTTGAGCGGGAAATCAAGTAAATAGAATTTTGTTTTTAATTATATTATAGATTATAGATTTTCCAGCAATCCAAACACTATGGATAAAGAAAAGTCATTTCATTAAGAAAATTAAAACTAATTAAATTAAATCTAATAATATAGTTGGATTTTTATATATTTGGTCAAGTATCTATTTTCATAACATACAAAATTTAAATTTAAATTTTGTATGGTTAATATAATCTCTAATCATGTACATATTTAGATAAATTTATTGAAAAATTCACATAATTAAGTTTATTTATTCCTAATTGTATTTCATATATATTATAATTCTAAAAATATGAATACTAACTAAGAGAATTGTACTTCGAAATCAATAAAAAAAATGTAAATTCTAAATTTTGTATGAATAAATTTAAACTCTAATCGGACGCATTTCCTTATATGATTGTATAATACATTGTATATACACATAATATTTATTAATATGTATATAGAAAAATTCTATAATATAATTTCAATAATTATAATTTATATTGATAGATTTATAATTAAAAAATTACATTTAGAAATTTAAAATGTAGCATTTAAATATTGTATGATTATTATAATGTATAATTGTATGTAAAATTATAAATATTCATGTTTTGTTAATTTTATACTTTCATTTCTTTAATTATATTTCATATTTTATTAATTATAACTTAATGAAATTGTCACAAATATTTTTAGGGAAGAAATATTATATTTTTTTGTTTCAATAATTATATTAATTATAATTAATAAATATTGTGGCAATTACCAAAATAATTTCATTAATTATATTAATTCTAATATTTGTTCTCTTCCAATATTTAAACACATTACCATAAAATTATCATAATAATTACACGAAAGAAGGAAAGAAAATTATTAGAATAATTACCATTAATATTAAAAATTAATTATATATTAATGTAAGTATAATTTATTTTATGCCAATAATATTATACATTAAGTATATATATATAATTATTGAAAAGAGGATATAATTTTAAAAAGTAAATTATTAATTAGATTACATAATATAACTGTCCTACTAATTGATTTCATACTACTATGTATAATTAATATATTTGAATTTTTTTAAAGCTAAATACCTATTAATTACCTTAATAATTAAGATAATTTTTAGGCAATCAATATTCAATAGTACTAAATGTATTACTTCAAATTTTTATAAATAAGATATAATATTATTAAATCGAAATAATTAAAAATAATGTGTCCACATTACAAAAGATTTTATAATAGTAATTTTTATTGCCTAATAGAATTTGTCAATTGTTAAACATTGTTTATGGTAATTATTGTATGACATTTAATACTAAGATTATCAGGTATAATTTTTATAATTAAGGTATAATATTATTAAACCAAAATTATTAAAAATAATGTGTCCACAATATAAAATAAATTATACTTGTCTTAAATAATTATTTATTAATATAAATTTATAATTATAAATTTGTATCCGAAAAAACATAGCAACTGAAATTTCTGGTTAAAAAAAAATCTCTCCATTTTTTTGTCACCAATTTATAGGTAGAGAATGTGAGAATTATAAATTAATAATATAAGTTTCATTTTCCATTTTCTTTTCTATTCAGTCAATTAGGGATTTTTATAATTTTCAGTCCATTAATAATATACGTTTCCTTTTTCAATTTGCATAATTTCACTTTCGTTTTCCAAATCCGTGTTTCATCTGTTATTCCCATACATAATATTCACGTTACTATAAATTGATTAGCAATTAATACATTTACAATACCCTAATTATGCAATATTACCAATTAATACATTTTAATTAATTTACATTAAACATATGCTTACCAAATAAGATTTATTAATTATTTGACTAAAAATATAAAATATTTAATTAATTTAGTACACGAGTTTGGACGTGAAATAATTGGTTACAATTATTCATATACACGTTCATATGAAATAATATTACCATACATACTTGTTAATATTTTGATTTATTAAATTGGTTACAATTCATATTATGGTATGAATAATTCTTATGCAATATACAATTTGGCAACTCAATTAATATTAAGATTTAGCGCAATGAACATATTTCGTCTTGTGTACTCATTTGACCGGAAATATGAAGGTTGGTTCAATAAATCGTAAATATTACCAATTGTTTGGTTAGAAAATAATCTTTATCAAATAAAAAGTAATTAAATTGATAAATTATACTTAAAAGGTAAATATTATGGGTAATTTTCTTATATATAAACCTTTATTGAATTATTTTATTATAAGGAGCGAAAAATTTTATACATAAATTGTTTTATAATTTATTTTGATCTTGAGGTCACGCACACACACATATATATACACACTGTAAATATTACAAAATACTTCGTTATAGAATAAGCTTTATTAAGTTATATATAAATTAAAAATGATTAAATTGTTAAATTATACAAATTGGAAAACTCTTAACAAAAAATTAGCAAAAATGTAACCACATCCGTAAATTTGATTCTATTTCGTAAATGATTTATAAAAATTTGTGTGATTTTATTTCAAAAATTTCAAAGAATAGTGCAAGAGTAGTAGTAAATTAAGGTAAATATTACCCAAAATTCTCAAAACCAAAAACATATTTGATCTTATTGAGAAGTGAGAAATGCCTATTACATAACAATAACAAAATCTAAAATTATAAGTGAAGTTGAATGTTGGAATAACTATACAATCTTTAGAGCTATTAACATATCCATCATTATTTGAATCACATTCTTTCGAAGAATATGCATATGTAGAAAAGTACCATGAATTTGTAGTGTAAAAAAAAAATGTTGTAAAACAACCATATGCATAAACTAAAAGTTTTGAAATACAAACTATTAAAATTACGATAATAGTACCCAAAAAAAAAAAAAAAACACCTCTTTATCATGGACTACACACTCTATAGAGTTTATTGTTTCAAAACCTCTTGCCTCTGGAAGATGAACACACGGAGCACTCCAACATTGATTCTATTCCAAATGAGTGTAGGATGAAGTTGACTACGAACAATTTCGTTGTGACTTCCTGCTACAACAATTAGACAATTATATTATTTTTAAAATAAATATATAAAAATAAAAGAGAAATAATTTTAAAAAATAAATGTAGTGTCAACTATTATATAATAATAATGCATATTACATGTAAATTTATAAATTCGTTGTAATTGCCAATGCTTAACATCATTGTAATTTATCCAGTTATTGTGCGTACCTTCTACAACGTGGGCACATGTGGTGTTGGAAGTCATCAACTCTCCTTAATGCATGTAAATAGTTGCTCAGAACCATTTCAATTGTCTCTATATTTGTATCCTGCAATATTTGCAAAAGATGCAGAAAAGAAATAAGAACATAAATTAAGAATTATGTCATTGGAAAATGAAAGACGCAATACATAACTCACCCCAGTACAAAAAGGAAGAGTTATAATTTTTCTAGTCACTAATCCATTGTATTTATAGGTAGAGATAGAGAATGTGAGAATTAATTTCTTTTTATATTTTCAATCAATTTGCCTAATTTCTGTTTCCTTTTTTCATTAGAATCCTTTTATATTTTCAATCAATTAATAATATCAGTTTCCTTTTTTCAATTTATATTGACTGGATTTCACAATGGTATATTGGTATTGCATAATATTACCAATTAATAGCTTTTATAACATTTCCATTTGACATTTGCTTACCAAATAAGTTTTATTAATTTGACCAATAAAATATTTCATTAATTTGACTATAAAAGTTTGAGCGGGAAAATTACATAGGAGGATTTTACTTTTATATATATATAGATATATAGATTTCATAGTGTTTTTAATATACTTGAACAATAATATTATCAATTATATTATAGAATATAATACCATACATAATATTACCAATTAATAGATTTTATTTAATTTCCATGTGATATTGACTTACCAAATAAGTTTTACTACAAAAGTTTGGGCGGGAAAATGAAATAGGAGGATTTTACTTTTATATATATATATATATATATATATATATATATATATATATATAGATATATAGATATAGATTATTACTTCGTATATAGTTTAGCTATACTGACTGATTTAAATGGCATGTCTTGTATTGCCTCAAATATTTTGTTACTTTGATTTATTTATTTTTGCATTTAAAAGAAAAACTAATTATCTAAAACTCCAATAGGATTATAGGAAACTACATAAAATACAGTTTTTTTTTTTTTTTTTTTTTTTTTTAATCCAGATTTTCCACTGTAGGACACCGTAACTAATACTCTCGCTGAATTTTAAGCAACTTTTTTTTTGAATAGAACATCTAGCCTAGAGATTTAAGACTACTCCATATTCAAAGGCAAGGATGAAACCCTTGACCTTTCATTAAGGATTAATGAGCCCTTCAACTCGATCAACCATACCCAGGTTTACATAAAATATAGGTGTGTCATTCCGAACACATCAATAAGCAATAAATTACATATCCTCTAGCTGGAATAGGAAATATTGTCCATCCAAGTTGGAAATTAAAGCATCAAACGAGGTGGCCATCTAAT